CAGTGTCTGACAACCAGTTCTCATAAACTAGGGACTCTTTCAGACAACCTGGAAGCCCAATAGCTGAGAAACTGACTCCTGGGCCAGAAGCCACCAGCTAGTTGGGCTATGAGGGTGCTGACTGCAGCCAAGTTTGCTGAGTGCTTACCCTGTACCAGGGACCCTGCACATATTTCCAAGTCCTGATGCACCTGACCTCGTAACAAACCTGCGAGGCAGGTACACGCTTGCCTTCCTTTTACAGATGAGGGTACTGATGCTCAAAGCCTGAGGACTCTTAGCAGACTGGAAAGTAGCTGAACTGGGATGTGAACCCAGACAGGGCGGGTTTATCCTTGTGACCCCTATACTGCCGTCACGTAGCCCTGGGAAGGCCCCTAGAAGCTCCTGCAGACCAGAAGAGTGGTAGAGGCACTGGTGCTTGATGTCAGCCAAATTTTTGAGTACTTCCCAGGTGCCAGACAAAGGGTCCTCAGGTCCTAGCATCTACCCTGGGATTCAGCTTGAGTTATGGGCCAGAACACCTGGCTTGAGCTTCCTGCTGGGGACAGGGGTGATGCTATTAGTACCTGGGTAGAGTTTGAGGCTTCAAAACCCACTTTAGTTACCTGTTCATCTAACTGTAGACTTGGCACAATGTAGGGTGAAAATGAAATGCATCCACTTAGCAGTGGATGGGGGTTTTCAGAAGTAGATTAAGTGGAAGTCGAAGGAAAACAGTATTTTTATAGCTGTTTATCCAAGAATGTTATTTTTTTAATCCTTACTCAAGGATATATTTATTGACTTGAGAGAGAAAGGGGGAGAGAGAGACACACACACACACACATTGATGTGAGAGAGAAACATTGATCGGTTGCCTCCTGTATGTGCCCCAAGCAGGGATCAGACCTGCAACCCAGGCATGTGCCCTGACCGGAAATCAAACCTGCCACCTTTTGGTGTACAGGGTAATACTCCAACCAACTGAGCCACCCGGCCAGGGTGAATGTTAACTTTCTTATGGCAAATGAGAATTTAGGTGTATTTGGAAAGGCAGGTGAAAAATTGAACTAAACACTAAACTGCCTGAGTTGATAGTTCAAATTGGAGCAGACAGAACCCTTTTGCCTTGGAACAGTTTAGATTTGATCAGAACAGCTCATCCTGAACCTAAATTTTAAGATTAAAGTAGCTAGGGGAGACTTCCGGCAAGATGGAGGAATAGGTGGACGCACCGTGTCTCCTCGCACAACGAAGATTAGAGCAACAATAATTTGCAGATAGAATAACACTCAGAACTGATAGAGGATTTGTCTGAATGGAAGTTGGACAGCCAAGAAGTTGAAGTGGACCCGTACATCCAGACTGGTAGGAGACGACGAACCGGGCAGGTGCGGGGCTGGCGCGGATCGGCGGCGCGTGGAGGTCGGGGAAAATTTGGCGCGAGGTCGGCGCGACAGCCATCCGGGGCGCAAGAACGCAGCAGTGATCCCTGAGTACACAAGCTGTGGCTGGCGGACCCAGTGAGGCAGCGATTGTGGACCAGGGCAGAGCTCGCAGCCCAGGATCCTGGAGAGGGGTCTGGGCCCAGGAGAACGGAACTACTGCCATTGTTCCCTCCCGTCCCCGCTCCCACCCCCGCCCCCACCCCCACATAGAATGTCACAATCTAGCCACTGGGGTTCCCAGCCCCAGTGAACACCTAAGGCTTCACCCCCCACCGTAACAAGAGTGACCAGACCGGAAAAAAAAAAAAAGAAAAAAAAAGGAGACACAGGGAAAGACAATAGGCATGTTTCCAACAGAACAGGTCAGTCCCCCAGGACTCATCCTTTTGAGCGACCAAGAAATAGCCAACCTATCAGATGCACAGTTCAAAACACTGGTGATCAGAAAGCTCACGGAATTGGTTGATTTTTGGTGCAATTTAGATGAAAGGATACAGGTTACCATAAAAGAGATGCAGGAAGATACGTGGAGGAGAGCCAATAGTGAAAGGAAGGAATCTGAGTCTCAAAACAATACAGTGGACCAGAAGGAAGATAGAATCAACCAAGCAGGAAAGCATGATGAAATAAGAATTCAAAAAATCGAGGAAAAGCTTAAGAGCATCCAGGACACCTTTAAATGTTCCAACATCTGAATTATAGGGGTACCAGAAGGGGAGGAGCAACAAGTGGAAAAGTTATTTGAACAAATAATAAAGGAGAACTTCCCCAATCTGGCAAAGGGAACAGTTTTCCAAGAAATCCAAGAAGCTCGGAGAGCCCCAAAGAAGTTGGACCCAAGAAGAAACACACCAAGGCACATCATAATTACATTAGCCAAGGTAAAAACGAAGGAGAGAATCCTAGAAGCAGCAAGAGATAAGGGGACAGTCACCTACAAAGGAGTTCCCATCAGACTGTCAGCTGATTTCTCCAAAGAGACCTTACAGGCAAGAAGGGGCTGGAAAGAAATATTCCAAGTCATGAAAGACAAGGACCTACATCCCAGATTGCTCTATCCAGCAAAGCTCTCATTTAGAATGGAAGGGAAGATAAAGTGCTTTTCAGATAAGGTCAAATTAAAGGAGTTCATCATCACCAAGCCCTTATTTTATGAAATGTTAAAGGGACTTATCTAAGAAAAGAAGATAAAGAAAAGACATGTATAGTAAAAGGACAGCAAACTCACAATTCTTAACAACCACACCTAAAGCAAAACCAAAAAAAACTAAATAAACAACTAGAACAAGAACAGAACCACAGAAATGGAGGGCACATGGAGGGTTAGCAGCAGGGGGGTGGGAGGAGGAGAGAGGGGGAAAGGTACAGAGAATAAGTAGCATAGAATGTAGGTTGAAAATAGATAGGGGGAGGGCAAGAATAGTACGGGAAGTGTAGAAGCTAAAGAACTCATAAGTATGACACATGCACATGAACTAAAAGGGGGAAACGTGGGTGGGAGAGGGGGTACAGGGTGGAGGGGAGAGAAGGGGGGAAATGGGGCAACTGTAATAGCATAATCAATAAAATATATTAAAAAACAAGATTAAAGTAACTAGGGAGGTAGGGGGTCCCTGCTGGTCTTGAGTGGGCTCTGGCTTCATGACATTCACAGAGCTGATGTTGCCTTGGTGCAGGAAGCAGAAATATTTTTTTAAAAAATGAGGAGTTGAGGAGATGGGACGTTTAGTAGGTGGGTGAGGGTTTTACATAGTTACTTCCAATTTGATGAATAATTGTATGCTTCAGGCTGCTTCACAGGAACCCTGCTCTTGGTCCTCATCCCCTTCCTTCCTGAAGAGAATCCTGTGCTCACAATATCACAGCCCTGGAGGCAGACCATGGGTGGGCTTTTGAGTCATGGACTCTGGCCCACATGCCCAATGGCCTCACAGGGCTTTTCTTTCAAAGTGACCAACATAGTGTTTCTCCTCACTAACTCACCCTTGACCTTTATTCAACCTCGCGTTGTCCCCTCTTAGCTGTGGTTGCTTTGGGCTAGGGACATAAGTGAGTAATGGCGAAGACTTGGAGGAGTAAGGAAATTAGGGGCAGTTGTAAGAGACACGGATACATTTCCTTAGAATTGACTGCACACTGTTGCATAAACACATGCTCCTGGTTTCCTCTGGCTGCCTGTGGGTCACCAGTGACTGCTAAGTGAGAATGTGCCCAGGGCACTGCAGGGCAGCCTGCTAAGCAGCCTGAGTCAGTGCCTGCACTTGGCCAAGGGAGCTCCAATGAGCTGAACTCCCTGTTGCGCGTGGGTCACCGGCCAGCAGTGACCACGGAACGCTGTGGATGGCTCGACAATAAACACGCGAGAAATAACAACATGCACAGAGACAAACTAGTTTCTGTGGGGAAGTAGGGACAGAATGGCCACCCCCCCCTAGTGGGGAGCGCGCCGATCCACCGTCCATACCTGCTTTTATTAGGCTCATCCTGCATAATAATTCAGGTAAAGTACAGCACTCACCAGGGGAAGTCAGGAACTATAGAAAACAAAGAACTCTGCCGGTCTATTGAGTTGGGGGTCAAAGAGCTGTAAGGCTGAGGAACAAACTAGCTTCCTCCTAAGACCCTTCTCATTCAACTGAGAGCATTCCAAACAAAGAAGGTTTCACAGTAATTTACATGTTCTTTCTTAGGCCTGATCACCCCCGGGAAATCCGCACTTCCCAGTACCGAGCTGTACTACCCTGTCATTGTTTCAGGCTTAGGTGGAGCACGGGAACTAAGGCCACCGAGCGATAAGGAGATTTTCTCCCAGACGATGAGAACTCAGGCTATGTCAAAGCCGAGGAGCGAGGGTCCATCACCCCCTTTTGCTGCAGCCCCCCAAGTCCTTCTTTTGGGGGGCCTCCCAAAGTGATCGTGCCTGGCTTGGGTTGTTCCCCCCGTGGGGAATCTTACCCGTCTTTGGCTAACCGACCAAGCTTTTTGGGGTTCAGCAGCAGAAGCAGCATTCCTGCCAGGGAGATAAGCTTTTGTCTCCTTGCCGGCTCACGGTTCCAAGGGTGTTCCCTTAGCCTTAGCCTAGGCGGGGGTTTCAGCTTCTGATACCAGTCAGGGCGGTTCCCAACAACTCCCTCTGGGTGTCCTTGAGCCCTGTGGCTGGGAGCACACTTGTGGACCATCCCAGATACCATCCATCTGTTCAGAGAGGGATAGAAAGGTTGGTATGGTTTTCTTTGTCCTTTAAAAAAAACTACTTTCACAAATACCCAGAAATTTTAAATGAGAATAGGTATTACTTAAGTTTCCCAAAACAGGTTTCTGAAGCAGAATCAGGTGAGTACTGACATGCTCGTCCGGGCCACTGTGCACCTCTGAGAGGTATCGTCAGGCCTGTGGTGCAGCAATCTGCTCGTGTCCATGCAGAATGAGAGTGTAGTGCCCAGGACTGGACTCAGAGCTGAGGTTCTCACAAGAGACGTCTGGGTTCTGTCACACTAATGGGAATAGGGTTGGCAATTGTCTTGAGTTCTCCCATTTTGTCATTAATTTATTTGGTTTTGGTTCTTCCAGGAAGCGTCTGATGACAGTGGGGGTCATGACTTCCATGGCCATCCTGCCCCTGCTGTTTGGCTGTGTGGGCATCTTCAGCCTCTTCAAGCTGCTGCAGTGCGTGAGGACGAAGGCCAGCCTCCAGGATGCTGTGGTGGTCGTAACAGGCGCCACCTCAGGACTGGGGCGAGGTGGGTCCTGGAGGCAGTGCTTGCAGGGGGAGGAAAGCCATCCTGTGCTTGGGGAGCAGCTCAGCTACTCGGGGACCACAACACAGGTGCAAATAAGTGAAGCAGGTTGGTGACTTGGGAACAAGAGTATGTTGCCATCCTCTGTCCAGTTGGTAAAAGCGAGAGCTTGAGGGCAATGAGACTTCCAGCATCCATGTTGGTGGCAAAGGCCAGTGAGGAAGGCCATGGTAAACTGGAGCCTGCATATCCCACCTAAGGCAGCAGCCTTGCTCAGCTGCAGTTGGTTGTTGAAACAGAGCTATTATGTGAAGGCTCCCAATTTTTAAATGTCAACAACTAATTACCTCCTTGAGGGTCAAACAAAGCATACCTTTTCCTGGATTCAGCCAGCATGCCTGGTTTGTGGCCTTTTGTTGACTGGCTGAGCCTCTAGCTGTACCCTGGCCACAACCTTGGAAGGGCTGGAAACAGGATGATTGTGGCCTTAGCTCATCGAGTTCCCCAGCTTAGTACCGTTCCAGTTTGGAGAGCACACTGAGCTGCTGGATCCCAGGAATTGTGCGGTGGACACAGGTCTGGAGCCAGTTGCTGCCCCTCCTCTCAATACAAATGACTCTAGAGCTGTCATCATTTCCCTTCCAAACATGTATATTGACTTTGGCAGTGAAGGGGAGAAATATATGTCACCCCGAAATATGCCATGTTGGCATATTGATTATTTTGAATTAAAGGTATTTAAGAAACAGCTGGTGTAAGAAGGACAGGACCCTCTGAGCCTCCTCTGTTCCCTTGGAAGCAGAATGCATCTCCCCTGTGACAGTGCCCTCCCTGATGTAGTCAGGGGTGCCAGGTGGGCACTGGAAACATCAGGGAGCAGGAAGACACCAGTAGAGCATGTGATTATCTGTCCACTATGCTGCACACCTAAAGCTAATACAAAATAATGAATGTAGACTGTGATTGAAAAATCTTTTTAAAAAATGCCCTCGCTGGTGTGGCTCAGTGGGTTGAGTGCTGGCCTGCGAACCAAAGGGTTGGCCAAGTTTGATTCCCAGTCAGGGAACACGCCTGGGTTGAGGGCCAGTTCCCCAATAGGGGGAGCGTGGACGGCAAACACATATTGATGTTTCTCTCTCTCTCTTTCTCCCTCCCTTCCCCACTCTCTAAAATTAAATAAATAAAATGTTTAAAAGAAAAGGTGCCCCACCCCGGTACCAGAAAGTAGAAGGCATCTTTATCATGAGAGATGGTAAATTCAATGCCAAGAAGGCTGTATAAACAAACCTTGTTAATTCTTCTCTAATTTACTGCCCAAAGCTCAAACCCCTTTGTTTTGTCAATTTTCACTAATTTATTGGTTTATTTGTTTGTTTTGTCTAAAAGGTACTAAAACTGCCTGCTTTGCTCACTTCTTATAGCCTCATATTTGTGGTGGGGGGATCCTGTACATACAAAATTAAAAATTTTTTTCTCCTATTGATCTGTTATACCAATTTAATTATTAGACCAGCCATAGCACTTAGAAGGGAAGAAAGGAAGTTTTCTTCTCCTACAGCAGAGCATACAATGGGGCAAACTCAGGCATGTGGCGTGGAGCCCCCTGCCCTTTCTTGCACCTACACACACACATCACCTCCCCGAAGTACCTGCCCACACTGGAGCCCAGTTCCATGGGAGGCAGAGAAGCGCCCCTAACTGTGGTAAACCTTCCATTGCTGCACTTTTTGGTTGGTGATAGTACAGCCAGCGCTGATGAAGTGCATCCCGTGTTCAAGGCTCTGGAACAGGTAGGACGAACAGATGACAGACAGGGCTGTGTTCCTCAGGGAGCCTGAGATCTGACTGAAAGAGGCAGGCACCTCTCTCAGCATACTGCCTTTTCAGTAATGGGTGCTCCCACCGGGCCTGGTGGGAGGGCCTGCATCTGTGTGTGGGGCTTGTGCTTTGTATCACTGAATCCTTGCAGATGAGATGCAGAAAAGGTATGACTAGCCAGAAAGGCCAAGATTTAAGCCCACATCTGACTCCAGAACTCATTTTTGTCTCACTTGAGGGGAGAAGGGAAGGGTGAAGCCAAGGAAGAGGAAGGGTGGGCCAGCAGGGAGGGCATTGCAGAGCTGGCCCAAGGCTAGAAGCAGCATGGTTGTGCAGGGGCTGGTAAGCACTTGAGGTGTTGCAAAAGCATGGAGGAGCAGATGGGGCTTGTGTTGCAGTCAGCCAGGGGGACTGGAGGCTTTAGCTAGTATGGACCCCTTTGTACACCATGCTGATGTTTAGGTGAGGTCTCCGGGGGTGACCCCTGGGTCTGTCATCAGATACCCAGACATGCTGCATAGGGACAGCTGCCTCCAAGCCCTTTACCACAGTTGGTCCTCTGACCTTACTTAGATACTATATATAGGCAGTCACCAGATGCTTCTCTTAATCTTGGAGAGAAGCATTTTTTTTTTTGAGTCCTTGAGGAGTATTTCAGAGTTGGCTAGAATGGAAAAGTAGGGAATTGTGGGTGCTCCAATATGTGGATGTTTGAGAAGGACATTCGAGACGGACATTGTTCTCTTCATTGTTCCACATTTCCTCTTCCAGACACTAAGACTGTAAAGGGAGTAGCAAATGTAATTGGAAAAAGCACTGCATGTATTTAGATAGATAGAAAGAATGTCAATCATTTCCTGAATTCCAAATCACTCCGCTTATACTTGGCCCTATTCAACATCTTAGGGACAGGATTCCATTTATGTCTTTCCCCTCCAGCCAGATAAAACAGGGCCAGACTGACAAGCAGCTTCTCAGGTGCAGACAGTCCTGCCGCCAACGGCCTGGGCACACTGCTGTGCAGAGGGAGACCCAGCGCCGCCCTGGGTGGCTCTGCCCCATGTTAGGGCTCAGGAGGTTTGAGTCATGTGATGAACCTATGACAGCTACCTACAGTTCTCCTGTTTTGTATATTTATGTTGCACACGCTTGTCCTTGTAAAGGGACAGGAGGCTCTGGAAGCCCACTTCAGCCAGCCTAAGCCCTGAAGCTGTGAGCAGTTGCCTTGAATGACAAAAGCCAACAGTGCAGGGAAGGCAGGGAAGTTGGTACCTGAGACAGGTACTCTTTTTCTTTTCCCTTGACCCTCTGCCTCCTTGTATCAGCTTTTTCAAAAATGAAAGTGGAATCCTTCCAATTTCTGTTATTTTCATTTCTGTCACTTCCTACACTAATATCTTCCCTTTTTGGCTCTGCTCAGAAGCAAAGCTTAAGCAGAATGTAGGTGACCATTTTCCAGAAACTGTTTATACACCAGCATGCCTCCCCGCACCTGTGATTCTGTGTATCTGCACCCTTTAGTGGCACCTCACAAAATGCCCATTGTGTTGGTCAGGACAGGACAGAATGGAGCAAGGAAGCCAACAGAACTGGGAATTCCTAATCTTTGGGGATTATTTAGCAAACTGAATGAGCAGTTCTGGTCTCAGGAATGTTTTGAATGCAGCCCACCCCCACCCCCACCCACTCCAGCCCCTGAAGTCTTTGCTGCCCTGTTGAGAAGAACAACAGGGTAGGCAGGACAGTGGCTGTGACCCTGACCAGACCACCCAAGGACAGACAGAGAAAGTGGGGGCTGCAGCTCTCTCTGGACTTGTGCCCTTTGTTGGGCTGAGCCAGAGAACAGACGAACCAGATCTTCAAAGATGATGACACAGCACAAGTGAAAATGTATTGATTTAGTACACTTAGCACCTTCTTCCAGAAAGCTCTACCTGGGGATGTGCAGGGAGGTGTGGGCCTGGGTATGGCAAAGTGGAAGCTATAGGAGAATCGAAAGGCACAGCAGAGTGCAATGAAAGGGCTTTGCACCCTAAGACCTTCCAGAGGTCAAAACTTCCTCTCTTCCTGGAGAATCCTAGAATTTCTTCTACTCTCAGAAGAAAGGTTTGGAAGCCTTTTAGCTTTAAGGAATTTTGACACTTTTGTGGAGGAAGGACTGTCAGACTGGTACACTTCGCCTGGGCCCTCCCACCTTCCTGCCTCATGGAGAGGAAGTGATAGCCTTGATCCCTCACGCTTCTCGGAGCAGCTCCAGGGCAGCCCTGTTCCTTCTATGAGCCAAGGGGGCACTGAGCCCCTCCTGACCACCTTGGCTTCTCAGACTCAGTCTCGGACAGTGGTTGGCTCGGGGCTGAGGGGTCTGTGTGTTACAGAACAGGGCCAAGGGGGTACGATATACTATTACCGAAAGGACCCTCCACTAGGTTCGGTTGCCCGTCGTCAGAGGAAAGATGTCTCTCAATGCCAGAGATTTGTGAAAAGGAAAGGAAATGTTTATTTAAAGCTATACAGACTGAAAGTAGTGACCTAATATCTTGATCAAAATATCAAAGTCCTTTAGGATACCCACAGACAACACAGTGCTTTCTTCTCTCTCTGCCCTAAACTGGGGTTCCGTTTCTCAGGAAAAGAAGTCCATGATTCAGGCTGCTGGCACCATCAGCTGTGTTGCCGTTCAGGATCTCCAGCTAATCCAAAGCTATGTGGCACCTTCTCATGGCCTACTGGCAAGAGTTCTTTCACCCTTCTTCCAGGCAAAGTCTCTCCTGCTTCCTAGGCCACATGGCCAAAGGGAGGACCCCAAAACTGCGTGGTCCTCTTCTACCGAAACTGCGGGGTTCCCCACTCTGGCAAAGCCATGTGGTTCTTCTCTTAATGGCTGCTGTGTCTGGGTTTAAATCCCCGTGCCACTCTACCTCTGCAGCCCCATTTCCGACTCCTCCCACAATCAGTTACTCCTGCCAGCATTCCTGTATTATTCCAAGTTTACTGGGCTGCCATTGTGAGTCTGGGCAGGTGTGTCCCCATGTTGTGGAGCCAATTTTGTCCAACTCTCACACAGGTGCTGTAACCAGGGGGACCTGCACCCCCAGTTACATCTTGGGTGGAAGTCACTTCCATCCCCCTGACGCAAGGCATGGCCACAGCTATTTAACATATTTATGCACCCAGTTAAAGGTTATAGATATGTTAAAAGACCATGCCAGAGGTTAGCTGCAAAGCTGTGGCTGTACAAAAAAATAGCTCTGCATGTTCCTGCTCCATGTGTCCCTTCCCACAACTCACACCTGTCTGGGGGAAGGGGTGAGGACATCCTATATACCTTTCTAATATTTCCTGGACACCTTGAGTTCTGGACCCCATTCCAAATCCCTATTTGGGGCCCTCCTCTAGACTGCACCCTGTTATATGTGCAGACCTGCTCAGGGGGCCTGTGAGGAGATGAGACCTTGGGTGAGGACACGCAGTGCTTCTTTAAACCCTTGTATTTCAATTTTCACCAACAGTCAGTTTTCAGAGAATTTTTTAAAAGGCAGATTAGAAATACAAAAACAACCCTTCTATAGTACTTTTTAAAATGGTCTTTGTATCTACTGTAATTCACTCCATTCTAGTGCTGCTTTCATCTTTCATCTTACATAAGAGGAAAGTGAGAAATGCAGGCCATAACTTAACCCAGGACCACAGAACCAGGAAGTGTGGGAAGTCAGAGTTGCACACAGGAAGTCTAGTCTGTTCTCTGGACCACTGGGCTGTACTGGTTTTCATAAGCTGTCAGTTTTCAGGACATTTAGTTGGGACATGTATGGGGGCAGGGCAAGCGAGAAACAAGAGGACCTCACCCTCTGCTCCAACCCCTACCCCCTAGGTTAGTACAGCATCCTAGTGGCCTCCCCTCCCTGCCCCTTCTCCTTGACCTCAGGGGGATTAAGTGGGACCCTTGCTGGGCTAGTCCTACTGAAGCTGCTCCACCATAGCTGAGCACAGTCCCTTACTGAGATTTTGATGCAAGAGCTTAGAGGAGACAAGTCAAAGGTCCCTCCTGTCTGGCAGGGGAGCTGTGTTGATGTGAGCCCAGAGCCCACTCCCTATTGTGGGGAAGCTGGGTTGGGGAGGTGGAGGAAGGATAAGCTGGCATCAAGAGGGCTGGGTCCTGCTGTCAGAGGCCCTGGGAAGCCCCCACACCTGTCCTTCCACATCTTGGCCATTCAGCCTTTTTTTTTTCTTAATTCTTGAGCTGTCCTAGAATCCTCCTGATAAATCTCTTTTGGTTTTGCTGCAGTGTGAGTTGAGTCTCTTTTTCTTGCCACAAAAAGAATGTTGACTAATAAAGGTGCCTAGATAGTTCTGGACTCTTCCTTGCCATAGGCTTAGTTGATGTCCTCATCGTCACCTGGAATGTAATAAGTGGGCTCAGTGGAGCCTGGTCTTTTTCAGTCTCCTTCCTTCCTACCCCACAGGAGGGTGCCTTTTAAAATGTAGCCCTCCTTTAGAATATTTTGCTGTTGCAGACACTCAGCAGGTTTCGCCTCTTTACTCTCCAGTCCTATTTCACAACAGAGCAGAGCTGATGAACTTTCCACTTTCTGCCCCAGCTGCACTGTCTGTGCCCCCTCAGGCACTTTGTAGACTCTGCACCCTGGGCCTCTTGTACTCTCCAGAAAACAGCCCCTCAGGCCTCTGCAGCCTTTCTCAGCAGAGTCCTGTGTCTCCTGTGTTTCTCTAGAACCATGTAAGCAGCCCCGGGAGATAAGTACCTGTTGCATTCAAGTGACCTGGGAAACAGCTGGATTGTGCTGGAACATAGGCCTTGACAGACATGCTGCACACAGCTCGCCCTGCCTATCACAGGCATGTTGCTTGATCTTGCTGAGCTTTTTCAGCTGTGAAAATGGGGATAATGCTCACAGAGTATTCAGAGCTAAAGATGATTATGGATGTTCTGGACATAGTATCCAATAAATCTGTCAACCGGTCCCTGTCTTTTCCTTGCCCTGTGGATATCTGTCACATCACTGAACATGAGCTCTCTAAGGCAATAACAGAGCTCATCAAGCTCTGGACCTGATTCCTACCTTCATGCCTGGGCCATAACTAGAGCTAATATACATGTGTTCAGTGCATTTAGAAACAATACATATTCTGAAACATTGGGCAAGTTTGAACTGCACTGGGGAAGAAAGGCATTGTTTCTCTGCCATCAATGTTCTCTTTTCTACCTTTAGAATGTGCCAAAGTCTTCTATGCTGCAGGTGCTAAGCTGGTGCTTTGTGGCCGGAATAGGGAGGCACTAGAAGAGCTCACCAAAGAACTCACTGCTTCTCAGGCCACCAAGGTAAGCCCAGGGGTGTGTTTTCTGTGGGGAGGGATGCAGTTCATTTGCTGAGAGAGTGGCCCACTCCTGGGCTACTAGGCATGCAGGGCATCCACATGGTCACTGTACTGGGAAGGTAGCAGTTCTCCACAACAAATTGGGCTCCACAGCCTGAGGAAGAACTGTCATATAGTTCAAATTACAACCCACCACTTACTAGCACCATTCTCCTCCCGCTTTTACCTGGCTAATACCTACTCATCCCTCTTTTTGTTGTTGTTGGCAGGGGGAAACAACTGGTTGGTGATGACTTCAAAAATTTTAATTGTGGAAAAAGAGACATGACAGAATGTTTATCATTCTATGCATTTATAAGTGTACAACTCAGTCACATTAATTACACTCACACTGTATGTAATTATCACCACTGTCTATACCAAAACCTTTTCATCATCCCCAACACAAATTTGTACTCCTTAAACAGAAACAAAAACAAACACAAACTAAGCAAACAACTACAGTAGGAAAAGTACAATATTTGTCCTTTTAGGTCTTATCCCTGTCTCCCCAGCTTCCGGAAACATCTACTTTCTGTCTCTATGAATCTGCCTATTCTATATGCCTCATATAAGTGGAAAAATACAATATTTATCCTTTTGTGTCTGGCTACTTCACTAAGCATAATGTCTTCAAGGTTCATCCATATTGTAGTGTCCATTAGAATTTCATTCCTTTTTACTGGCAGAAAAATACTGCATTGTATGTATGTACCATATTTTGTTTATCCATTTATTTGTTCCTGGTCACTATAGTTGTATATACCTTTTGGCTATTGTGAATGCTACAGTGAACATTGATGTACATGTATCAGTTAAGTCCTTGCTTTGAATTTTTTTGGATATATACCTAGGAACGGAAATTCTTGGTCAACTGGTAGTTTTATGTTTAATCATTTCAGGAATTGCCACAGTGTTTGTCATAGCAGCTATACCATTTATATTCCTACCAGCAATGCTCAAGAGTTCCAGTTTCTCCACATTGTAGTCAACACTTATTATTTTCTTTTTTTAATTATGCCCATCCTAGGAGGTATGACCAACTTAATTTTTTGCATACACTTTTTAATTTTTTATTCAACATAATTTTGTATTAGTTTCTTTATTTTTAATATATTTTATCAATTATGCTATTATAGTTATCCCATATTTTTCTCCCCTTTATTTCACTCTGCACCCCACCCTCTCACTGGCATTCTACCCTTAGTTCATCTCATGGGTCATACATTTAAGTTCTTTGGCTTCTCCATTTCCCATATTATTCTCAACCTCCCCCTGTCTATTTTGTACCTACCATTTATGCTTCTTATTCCCTGTACCTTTTCCTCCATTTCCTTTCTCCCCCTACCCACTGATAACCCTCCATGTGATCTCTATTTCTGTGATTCTGTTCCTGTTCTAGTTGTGTACTTAGTTCATTTTTGTTTTTTAGGTTCAGTTGTTGATAGTTGTGAGTTTGTTGTCATTTTACTGTTCATATTTTTGATCAACTTCTTTTTCTTAGATAAGTCCCTTTAACATTTCATATAATAAGGGCTTGGTGATGATGAACTCCTTTAACTTGACCTTATCTGGGAAGTACTTTATCTGCCCCTCCATTCTAACAATAGCTTTGCTGGATAGAGTCATCTTGGATGTCGGTCCTTGCCTTTCATGACTTTGAATACTTCTTTCCAGCCCCTCCTTGCCTGCAAGATTTCTTTTGAGAAGTCAACTGATGGTCTTATGGGAACTCCTTTGTAGGCAACTGTCTTCTTTTCTCTGGCTGCTTTTAAGATTCTCTCCTCTTTGATCTTGGGTAATGTAATTATGATGTGCCTTGGTGTGTGCTTCCTTGGGTCCAACTTCTTTGGGATTCTCTGAGCTTCCTGGAAGTCTTATTTCCTTGGCCAGATTGGGGAAGTTCTCCTTCATTATGTTTTCAGGTACGTTTTCAATTTCTTGCTCTTCCTCTTCTCCTTCTGGTACCTTCTCCTTCTGGTATTTGGATGTTGGAACATTTAAAGTTGTCCCAGAGGTTCCTAAGCCTCTCCTCATTTTTTTTTGAATTCTTGTTTCTTCATTCTGTTCTGGTTGAATGTTTATTTCTTCCTTCTCCAAATCATTTGAGTCCTGGTTTCCTTCCCATCACTGTTGGTTCCCTGTATAGTTTCCTTTATTTCACTTTGTATAGCCTTTACTTCTTCCTCTGTTTTGTGACCATACTCAACCATTTCTGTGAGCATCCTGATTGCCAGTGTTTTGAAGTGTGCATCTGATAGGTTGGCTACCTCTTCATCACTTAGTTTGTTTTTGGAGCCTTGATCTGTTCTTTCATTGGGCTGTATTTTTTGTCTTGGCATGCCTGTTATGTAGTAAGGGGTGGAGCCTTAGGTATTCACCACAGTAGGGCAACCCATGTGGCTGTGTGCTGTGTTGGGGGAGGGGTCCAAGAGGGAACAATGCCTCTCTTTCATCTCTGTGCTGGCTTTCATTTACTTCCCCCTCTACCTACAAGCAAATTGGGCCCTTCTGGCACTGATTCCTGGGTGGGTAGGTTGGTTTATGTTCTAGGACCCTGTGGGTCTCTCCAGTGAACTCTTCTGTGAGGCTGGGAGTTTCTCCTGCCACCACAACCCCCACAGGTTTTTTTCAGTCAGAGGTTGTGAGGCTTTTTTTCGCTGCACTGGAACCCTGGGTTGTACAGTCTGTCTTGCTTCCCAATTGTTCCTCCCAGTTTATCTGCATGCAAATGTGGGACTACCTGGTTCTCTAGATGCTGCCTTGCTGTGAGTCCTCTATGTCCTGGCTGCCCAACTCCACACCTCCTACCAGTCTGGACAAATGTTTCTTTTTTAACTCCTTGGTTGTGGATTTCCATACAGTTCAATTTTCCGGCAGTTCTGGTTATGTTTTGTTTTTACATTTGTTGTTGTCTTTCTTTTGGTTGTGCAAGGAGGCAAAGTGTGTCCACCTACACCTCTTTCTTCATTTCGTATTAATCTCAAGTGTACACAATAGTAGCTAGACAGTCATATACTCTACACAGTGCTCCCTCCATCATCGTTCCTAGTACCATCTGGTACTGTACATACTACTTATAATATTATTGACTATATTCCCTATGCTGTACTTTATTTTTTTAAAAGACTTTATTTATTTATTTTTAGACAGGGGAAAGTGGGAAAAGGGAAAAAAACATCAATGTGTGGTCGCCTCTCACATGCCCCCTACTGGGGACCTAGCCCATAACCCAGGCATGTGCCCTGACTGGGAATCAAACCAGTGACCCTTTGATTCGCAGGCTGAATCAAAGTGGTTTGATTCAACCACTGAGCCATACCAGCCAGGCCTGTATGCTGTACTTTATGTCTCCATGATTATTTTGTAACTACTAATTTGTCCTTCTTAATCCCTTCAAGATCTTCACCCAGTGGTCCAACCCCCTGTCCTCTGGCAACCTGTCTCAGAATCTGTTTCAATTTTATTTTTTTTTCTTTAGGTTCTACATATTAGTGAAATAATAAGGTATTTGTCTTTCTCCAACTGACTTATTTCACTTAGCATAATACTCTGTAGGTTCATCCATGCTATCAAAAATGGTAACATTTCATTCTTTTTCATGGTTCAGTAATATTCCATTGTGTAAATGTACTACAGCTTTTTTATTCACTTGTCTATTGATTGGCACTTAGGTTACTTTCATATCTTGACTATTGTAAATAATCCAGGGTGTACACACTCTTTTTTATTCATAAATTTTTAATTTATGTTTTTACATTTATTTTTCAAATATTTTATTTATTTATATTTAGGGGAAGGGCGGGAAGAAGAAAGGGAGAGAAACATCAATATGTAGTTGCCTCTTGCACACCCCAAACAGGGTACCTGGCCCACAATCCAGGCTTGTGCTCTGACTGGCAATTGAACTGGTGACCGTTTGATTTGTGGGCCAGACTTAATCTATGGAGCCACACCAGCCAGGGCTTGTTTTTTTATTTTATTTATTTTTTCAATTTTCCATATTTTTAAAAATTGAATTTATTGTGGTGACATTGGTTAATAAAATTGTATAGGTTTCAGGTATATAATTCTATAATATACCATCTGTATATTGTATTGTGTGTTCACCACCTCAAGTCAACTCTCCTTCCATCACTGTTTATCCCCCTTTTTTTCTACGTCCTCTCACCCTACTTCCCCTGTAGTAATCAGCATGTTGTCTATGATTTTTTTTTCCTGAGGGCTTTTTTTTTTTGCTTAATCTCTTTACCTGTTTCACCTAGCCCCCCAACTTCCCTCCTTTCTGACAGCTGTCAGTCTGTTCTCTGTATTTATGAAACTGTTTCTATTTTATTTATTTTGTTCATTAGATCCCACATAGGAGTAAAATCACATGGTATTTGTCTTTTCCTGACTGGCTTATTTCACTTAGCATAATGTTCTCCAGGTCCATTGATGCTGTTTCAAAGGGTGAAATTTCCTTCTTTTTTTTAATACTGTGTAGTATCCCATTGTGTAAATTGTACCCCGGCTTTTTTTTTATCTACTCATCTACCGATAGGCACTTGGGTTGCTTCCAAATCTTGGTTATTATAAATAACACTGCAGTGAACATAAGGGTGCACATATTCTTTCGAGTTAGTGTTTTGAGTTTCTTCAGATACATTCCCAGAAGTGGAATCACTGGGTGAAAAGGCAGATCCACTTTCAATTTTTTGAGGAAATTCCATACTGTTTTCCACAGTGGCTGCACCAGTCTGCATTCCCACCAATAGCGCATGAAGGTTTTCTTTTCTTCACATCCTTGCCAACACTTGTTGTTTGTTGACTTATTGATGATAGCCATTCTGACCAGTGTGAGGTGATACTTCATGTTTTTAATTTGCATTTCTCTGATGATTAATGACTTTGAGTATCTTTTCATACGTCTGTTGGCCATCTGTATGTCCTCTTGGGAGAAGTGTCAATTAAGATCCTCTGTCC